AAGCTGTATCGAGTTGTATTCAGTTAGTAGATGTGATAGGCCAGTTACATGGATATCGAGTATTAGTGCAGTGTGGGATCTCTGAAGTGTTATGTTGGGGAGTGAGTCGGAAGGAGCGGCGGATTCAAGTATCTTCATTGATGTTAATAGGGCATATCTTTGATAGTGACATCCATTCAATTAATCCGCAAGCTTTAGCACTCTTAACAGAGAAGATGGTAAGTATAGTAGAGAATGGATTACATGAAGGAGTCTGTTACGCTATTTGGGACTTAAATCTGTTGATCTCAAATTTGCAGCGGGAAGTCGCTTTCTTGTTTGGAAGGGTCGTCAAAGCGGTGATTGCCGTCGTGACAAAAAACGTGTTGATTAAACCGGCGTTTGTTGTGTCATTAGAAATGATCTGTAGAAGTAATGAATAGAGTCTTACAAAAGAATGTCGTTATGATAATGACAACTATCGGAGCTTTGGACCCGGAAATAGTCGTCGACTACTTAGCTTTATTAACCAGTGAAGAGACTCTCCCACACGTCTTAACTATTCCTAACGAATTCATTCGATTTAATGTCCTTCGGTTGCTCGGGGTCTTGATTTGTTTAAAGCCACAAAATTGTTTGAAGAACGTCAGTTGTATAGGAAGAATATATACTGAAGCTTTAAAACAATACCCACATCTCATCGAAATATGGTCGAAAATCCAAGCCGCCTTCGCCCCTTTCAATTTATGAGTGTTTTTTGTATTATTCGGTCCTTTTCTATTTTACACCCGTTTTACTAGTCTATATTAATAAATTATAGTTTAATATATAGTAATAACTGTTATTATAATTATACCAGTATTTATTATATTTATTTGTAATTTTTTTTAAATTAATTGATACTAGAAAAAAAATTAAATTAACTCTAAATTTAAAAATAGTTGAATATATCATTGTAAACTAGTTGGGTTACTAGATAATATATTAGTTTTTTTTACTATTAATTAACTGGTGGATGGGTTTTGTCTCACTTTGCCTAGAATCAAATTTTTAAAGGTTTCTAATTATCACTTGTTTCACAAAATATGGAATACAAACTAAAAAATAAATAAACTATGTCTAAAGTAATTTTTCTTCACTTTCCGATAAAACTTTTTTTAAAAATATGGTCCGATTGGACCATATTCACACAACACTAGTTTAAAGTATAGTATCATCATATTATAATATAGTATAACCAATAGTTCTTAAACATTCTTTTAGTACTGCTATGAAATAGTAAACAAATATCCCGCGATTTAAAGAAATAATACCGCCAATGTTTCTTCATTCATCCAAACAAATCACAAAAAGTGTTTTTCAAAAATTCCAAAACGCAAATATAGTACAATAATAGTTTCATAACAATACCATATAGTAATTCACTTGATAAAGTGAAAGTGTCTATTTTCTTTGTCAGAACGAGCGAGAAAGATTGTGGGTATATAAACAAGGAATATACAAGAAAGACCATCTGAAGATGTCTGCTACTCATTGCCAATGCAAGTGCTACTGCAAATGTGGAAAAGACTGCAAGTGCGAGAAGTGTGAATGTGAACTTGGCTACTGCAAGTGTGGAGAGAAGTGCACATGTGACCCATGCACATGCAAATGCGAAGAAGGAGAACAGTGTTGTGCTGTGAAGAGAGGACTCCCATGTGCTTGCAAGTGTGAGACTAAAGCAAGTTCCTGTGAAGAAGGGAAGTGTTGCTGTTGCCACAAAAACTAATTGACATCTTCATTTGATTTATGAAATATATTTCTATCAATGTACTATATTATTAGTTTAATTTACTAATATAAAATAGTATTATTTTATGTTAGAATAACGTAAATACTCATAAGATTTTGTTTATGGATTGAGTAATTGAGTAATTGGCTATCAAAGAATTGATGATGAGTAAATAATTATTATATTTATTTGTTCATCATTTTTTCGTTTTGTCTTATTCTTATTATTATATGGTTCATTCTTATTAATTAACTTTACAAATTTTGAGGCATTGTATTAATTTTGTATCTAATATATTTACTTGAAAAATAATGTCTTTTAAAATAAAGTAATTTTTTTATTATGTTTAAATTAAATTATCACATGAATGGAAATTAATTAATTAAATTTTTATTCATGTGAACAATAATAGACAAATTATAAACAATTACAGTGAAAAGTGTCTTTTTGTGGGTTTTTATATTTGTGGGTCAATGGACCAATCAAATACAAAACCCACAAATAATTATTTTGCTCTCGAACCTTGAATTTAGGTACACTTAAATAAAAATTATAGTATTATTATAATTAAAAAAACTACTATATTTTCTATAACTCTGTTTTTTTATGGAAAAAATGGTGAATAGAATTTACTTGACAATTCCATGGTAAACCCACAAATTTACGTTTTTTCTCTGTTTAAAAACCCACAAATAAACACTTTTTACTGTAATTGATATCCAAATAAGGTTGGTTTGATTAAATAAGATTATCAAATAATTAAGGTAAATAGTGTGGTAAACTACAAATTATTTTTACATATAAAACATATGGTTGTATATTTAATATATTATATATTAAAGACATTTTAATATTCATAAACAAATTAGCAAAATATGAATGTTTTGATGATATGTTATGTTTATTTTTAATGTTTAAAGAAGAAATGGGGGATGTCCTTAAGTTTTAATTCTCTATTTTAATATATATATTATAATATAATATATGACAAAGAATAAATAATATAATTATTATTGTATAACAAACATATTAAAGTCAATAAACTTTTATTATTTTACCAAATATTCATTCTAATTATATTTGAAGTTGAT